ATACTGAATAAAGAAATATAGTATACTTATGCAATTGAATATTACTTAGGTTTTAAAAGAAATGATGTCATGAAATTTGCAGGCAAATGGATGGAACTACAAAGAAAAACCCCATTCTGAGTTAGGTAACCAAGACACAGAAAGATAAATATGGCATGTGTTCACTTATGAGGGAATATTAACTTTTAAATAAAAGATAACCTAGCTCTAATCTATAGATCCAGAGAAGTCTGGTAATGAGGTGGCATGAGAGGGCACAGGGATCTCCCTGTAAGTGGGAAGTAGAAAAGATTTTATTTATAGACTGGGACTGGGTGGTGACAAGAGTGGGGGAATCAGTAAGAAATAGGTTGAAGTGAGAGAGTTAGTGAATAGATACCTCGAATTAGGGGGTCTTTTGAGGAGTGTTGTGGAGACCCAGAGCAATGGAAATCTCATGGAATCTATAAAGGTGATCCTAATGAGGACTTCTAGTAATATAGGATAAAGAGTTCCAAATAACCATCTCATGTAGTGAAGTTAGACTTTCAACCATAGAACTAGGTTACATTCAATTGAATTGTTGGCTAAGGGGATCCCATGGAAATCTCCAATGAGGGCTGCTGCTAAGACAAATCATTGTTCTCTGCAAACTGACAGTGGGGGCTTCCTTGTGGAGGAGAACATGCATTGCAATGCCTACATTGAGCCCTCATCCCTACATTCTACTCTGTTTGTTGCAGAAGACAATTTTCAGGCTACCAAAGATAAATGTGGGTACCAACCCAGCCACAAAATCTTTGACCTAAAATACGTCATGCCAACAAAGTATACTAGGGTCATGGTGGGACAGAACTCATGGGAGTATACAACCAATGTCTCAGTTGAACTATAGTCAACTCCATGAGAAGATATCCATATCCAAAACAGCTTGGGTAACCATGCACCAGAGACTCGATAGCTCAGAGATCAATACCAGTTGGTATAAAAACCAAAACCAATAACATGAATTTTAATGGTGTTCTGCTATATTCATAGATCAGTGCCTTAACCAGTCATCATCAGAGAAGCTTTCTCCAGCAGGAGATGGGAACAGATTCAGAAACCCACAGCCACATAATATGTGGAGAATCTAAGTTTGAGGTCTCCATCAAATACCTCCCATTTGAGTTCAAGGAATCCTGTAGAAGAGGATGTAGAATTGTAAGAGCCAGAAGAGACAGAGGACACCAGGAGAACAAGGTCTTCTGAATCAACTAAGAATGGCAGATATGAGCTCACAGAGACTGAAACAGCAAGTACAGAGCCTACATGGGTCTGCAACAGGTCTAGATTAAAGTAATAGGTTTGAATTTTGTGAGACCCCTGACTGTGAAAATAAGTGGGTCTCTGACTCTTGTGCCAACTCATGGGATTCATTTCTTTCTGTTGGCTTGTCATGACCAACTTCAATATGAAAGTTTTCCCTCCATTTTATTATATTCTTTTGCTATGATTGGTTGTTATCTCTAAGACACCTATTACTTTCTACTGAGAAACAGAAAGGGAGTACATCTGCAGGGGAGAAAGAGGAGGGAGAAACTGGAAAGAGCAGAGGAAAGGTAAACTATAATCAGCATATATTATATGAGAGAAGAACCCTTTTTCAATAGAAGAAAGATAGAACAAAATTTCATTGTTTTTTAAGTTAAATATTATAGATGAAGTTTTCCTGTGTCTCGGACTGCTGGCAGTCAGGACAAATCTCTCTCACTAGCGTCCCCTAAGTAAACACACAGAGGCTTATATTAAATATAAACTGTATGGCCGTGGCAGGCTCCTTGCTATCTAGTTCTTTTATCTGAAATTAACCCATTTCTATAAATCTATACTTTGCCATGTGGATCATAGTTTACCAGTATCTTTACATCTTACTTCTCATGGTGGCAGCCGCTGTCAGCATCTCCTGACTCAGCATTCCCCTTACCAGATGTCTCCTCTCTGCTTATCCCATCTAGACTATGCTTCCTGCCTGGCTACTGGCCAGTCAGTGTTTTATTTATCAATCAATCAGAGTAACAAATTTACAGCATACAGAAAGATATCCCCAGCAAAATTTTATGAATGTATGGGACTTATATATTGTTGAGAGAGAGAGAGAGAGAGAGAGAGAGAGAGAGAGAGAGAGAGAGAGAGAGAGAGAGAGAGAATGAATCTAGGAGGGTGGAAAGCAAGTGAGCAATAAGTGTCAAAGTGCTTTATCCCATGTGGAAGCATAAGCAGACCATTTAATTTTAGGCATTTATGCTACACGGAAAGCATTAGAATTAAGACCAAATTACCTGTCTAAGACATGTAGCCCATTCTGTTATTTCATCAGACATATACAATTGTTGGTAATTTGGAACTCCAGAAAACTTTCCTATTTTCACCTTAAGTCCAAAATTTGGTGGAAAATCCATGATGTAGAAAATGTCATACTCTGCATCCAGTTTTAGTTTCTGGTTCATGATTACAAGGTCTCCAGCAGGATTTACAAATTGTATGTTCTTCAGGAAGGAGAACATCTAAAACACAATGGTCATTTTAGTTTCAACTGGGCCTACACATTAGGCCAGATAACATTACATACAATGTTGGTAATGATCCTAATTTTCAATAGCCTTTCATAAAATGTAACTATTATAAGTAATGGAAAAGAAGAAATTCAATATAGGTATAAAGATCATATTGCTTTAAAAATACAATTTTCTTGCTGGAGTTCATGTCTTAACATGTTCACACCGGAAATGTATGCTTGAAGAGTAGTGACACATTCCCTACTTCTTCCTACTAACAGTGTTATTTGATCATAACCTAGGGAATTGAGATCCTAATGGGTTAAAAAGTAGCAAAACTACTTCATATTATTTTGCGTCTCTTCATTACATTGACCAGCAACTTTTTGATCACAAAAGGACAAATCATTTTCTTATTACCATTTAATAATTTCATGAGAAAATATATTTATTCAAATGTTAAAACATGAGATATGTGTGTGGTTGAAACATCTGAGCAAAATTTCTTGACTAGGATTGTAAAATGCTGACTTGGGTGCCAGTGTTGACTGTATCATCATTGATGACACTAACATAATCTACCTCACATGCAGTGCTTGGGTACAGGCACATATGCATTTAGGAAAAAGATTCCTTATTTACATGCATTTAGATCTTATGCTTTCCTTTAAGAACATCATCTCTATGAGATAAATGCTACTCAGTGTAAGACACACTACCTTCCAGGGGTCAAATTCCAGTTCCTTCCCAGCATTATTGGACCATGTGTCTACTTGTTGCAGAAGCACCTCATGGAGTGAATGCGCCACAGAAAACACAGCATTATATATGTTATAGTTTGTATCACTCATGGCCATTCCAGATGGTGTCCTAAATAGCCATTTCAGTAGGGTTTCTGTTGAACAATACTTCAGTTTGTTACAATTAGATGATGGTAAAGAACACTTAAAATAAGTCCACCACAGGCTTGCAAGAGAAATTTCAGTACTGTAGTTTGAAGGATGCACTCTCTGCAGAAATTGTTTAAAACCAGATACCTCAGAATGCTGATGTGAGAAAATGAGAGTCCCATGAGGGGATTTAAGCAAGAAATCTCCTCCTACTGTGATCATATCAAATTGTGACACACTGACCCAGATTCTCCAAATGTCTAGAGATTGCCATAGGATAAAGTTCCACTTTAGATGAGATTCTTTGTTTCCATTAACAACCACAGCTTTTGCTGATGATGTCATGATTTGGTTATAATACTTATTTAACATTTTAAAGTATATTATTGTATCTGTTGAGATTATAGTCACAAATGCTAAACAGACAATGTTTCTTTGCACCTCTTTTCTCCATTCAGAAAGAAATTGAATTCCATCATCATCATCTGAAATGATCATTCCCACCCAGTTCCATTTCAGGTGAACCATTAGGGATACCATAGCTAGTGCTAGAGATGTGTCCTTGGGAGACATCTGATACAGGTGAGGAAATTGTTCATGGGCATTGAGGAGAGATTGAAAATGACCATAGTAAAGCTGAAAGACATAGAACATAAGCAACAATATGAAGATGATGGAATGCATAACAGTCGAATATCTAAGTGTCCTAAACAAATGTGGGGAGAATTAGAAAGTATGAATTCTTCATCTAATTATTAAAATCATATCTAATTTCTTGTGATTATCTAAACAAGTACAGATTAAGTTGTCAGGTAAAATATTTCACAGTTCTCTCATGCCCATTTGTGATAAAGTTATGTTTCCCTACAGAAAATGTTTGAGTATTTATGCATTATGGATCAGCATAGACACACTCCCAGTCTCGGCCTTTTCAATTGCTCTTGGAACCCAGGAAGTTAACATAAAGGGAAAAAGTAATTCATTTAAAGTAATCCACCCAGTCTTACCTCTGGAGTTCTGAAGGCGTACAGGAGTGGCACAAAAATGGCAGATTTTCTCCACAATGGTCCAGTAAGTACAACTAAGTATCTTCTCTGTTTTGTGCAGTAGTAGTTAGGAAAATGTTCAGTTCCTCTTGAGGACAAAACAGTTTTTATATGACTAGCAAACAGATTACAGTTAATGTCAACTAGCAGTGAAATATTTGGTAAAATATGAGGGTTCCTGTTGATTTCTTCCATGGCAAAATAAAGAGAGAATATCAAGTGGATGTTCTTTGGTGTCAACCTGAAAACAGGATAATATTAATGAGAGTTTAGGTTCCAAAAACCATAATGTTAATCACACTCATAGTGGGTTCAGCATTGGATTCTTTTTCTTGACCTAGGTTTACGATGACTCACACAGTTCCTATTATTGTGTCGCATTAGAATGTGAGTCATGGGGAATAATATGAGATTCTCAAAGGAATTTTTTAAGCTGTGGGATGGTCTGTATGTCAAATTGTTCTGATTGGTCAATAAATAAAACACTGATTGGCCAGTGGCCAGGCAGGAAGTAGGTGGGACAAGGAGAGAGGAGAATTCTGGGAAGCAGAAGCCTGAGGCAGAGAGACACTGCCAGCTGCCGCCATGACCAGCAACATGTGAAGACACCGGTAAGCCACCAGCCACATGGCAAGGTATACATTTATGGAAATGGATTAATTTAAGCTATAAGAACAGTTAGCAAGAAGCCTGCCACGGCCATACAGTTTGTAAGCAATATAAGTCTCTGTGTTTACTTGGTTGGGTCTGAGCGGCTGTGGGACTGGTGGGTGACAAAGATATTTCCTGACTGTGGGCAAGGCAGGAAAACTCTAGCTACATTTTTATTTTTATTTTTATTTTTATTTTTTGAAGGTGTGGGGGTATATTTTCTATCAATGGAATTCTGTAATTTTGAAGTTTCCTACAATTCTACCCTGTTTTCTGTGAACACTGTGAAAGTCTTTATGCATTCCATGGAACAGAAAAGAAGCCCTGGCCAACACTGGATCTCTTCATACATTTATACTGTAATTCTAATATTTACAATCTGTAGAAAATAATTTGGTATTATCTGCTATCTAGATAGCTATACTTTTTTTTCATAGAGGCAGTACTGGCCAATATCATGACATTTTTATGGGTATGAAGAGTATGTGTCCTTGTTTGTGTGTCAACAGCTCTGAAAATTCTAGTCGAGTCATAAATCATGCAAATAGCATAATAATTATTACTTTTCCTCCTTGCTTCCACAGAGTTTTCTACTTTTCATTTTCCATTTGAGGCTTTGAAATATTGAATGACATAATGTTGGTGATAACTACAATTTTTTCCTGGGAGAAATGAGTTCCTTTTACTTCACATGGACTCTTAGGTTGTGCTGATGCATATCATCCTATACACTTAGGTGGGTATCGCAGAACTGCCACTGGGTCCTAGTAGGTTCAGATTTGATTTGATATGTCATAATTCTCTAATATATTCACTTGAGGGTTGTCTTTCATTTAACATATTTTAACTGGTTATAACTGCTTTGATATAATTTTTACAGTTTGATAATCTTATTTAACCATAACATATCATTTCAGTATTTTGTGTATGAATGTTTTTGCTTTCACTTCATTTTCTATATATTCTGCCCTGCTTTGTGACTATAGTACATATTCAGATAACTAGACATGACTTGTGTCTGTGAATCTGGTATTGAATTGCTGAACCATGTGTTCCCTCTAATTTTCATGCCTGAATAATTATTTTTCTGCCATGTCTTCTTCCTTCATCTCCTACAACTTCCCTTTTTTTTCCAGAAATGCCTGAAATTTTTACATATATTGTAAGTCCTTGCCATTCTGTACTGGAGATATATATGCACTGATAAAAGTGAGTTTTTCAATTTACCCAGGGCTATTACTGTTATGTGAATGTTTAATATGTCAAATGATATAGGGCATTGTTTTTAAATTAGTTGTTTCACTTCTTGAATGAATTTTCGGTTTTATATGGAAAGAAAGAAAAGCCCAGGATAGCTTAATCAAATTATGTGATAACTCCGAGGATGGCACCAGCCCTGATCTTACATTGTACTACATAGCTGTTGTAATAAAAACAGCATGGTATTGGCACAAAACAGATTTTTAATCAATAGAATGTAATTGAAGACCCATACGTAAGTCCATAGACCTATGGGTAACTGATTTTTGATAAAGAAGCCAGAAGTATACACTGGGATATATAGACAGCATCTTTGTAAAATGGTGCTGGCCAAACTAGATAGCTGAATGACAAAGAACATACATTTATCTAAATCTATGGCAATTCACAAAACTTAACTCCAAGTAGATCAAAGACCTCAACTTAAGACAAGATACACTAAATATGATGAAATAGAAAATAGGGGGATAGTCTTGAACTCATTGGTACAGCAAAAGTGTTTTTGAACACAACACTGGCAACCCAGAAACCCCAAACAACAATAAACTACTTGAATCTCATGAAACCAAAAAGCTTTTTTATGGAAAGAATGGCATCATTCAGACAGAGTGAAAGCAAGAACATGGGTAAAGGTGGTTTTTTTTTTTTGGGAGGGGGCAACTAATCATCCAAGAGCACTAACATCTAAACTATATAAAGAAAAAAAGCCAAACAAACAAAAGACCACTGCACATCAGAAGACAAATAATCTAATTAAAAATGTGGTACAGAATGGACACACCCTGCAGCCTCACAGAGTACTCCAGTTAGGGCTTGACCATATTCTTAATTTTCTCAGGATTCCCATTAGATTGTCAGCACCTTCAACCAGCAGGAAGTAGTATGAGAAGTTATGCTGAAATTCCTCCAATATTATTTATAAATGTTTATTTTCATTTAAAGGGGGTTGATTATAAAGCAGTCTCTTTCTAAAGAAAAAATGGGGATATTATAGATATGATAGGATGAAAGGATAGGTTATTGAACCTGTATTTAAAGAGTAACAATGAGTATAAAATGTTTTACATTGCTATAGATTTTAGTTTATTTATAGAAATTTAAAGTTAATATTGTTATACTGTATATATATATATATGTATATATTTTTACTCTTGTTTAAGGTATTTTGCTTATGTAACTTATTTGATATTGTAATGTATAGTTGAGAAATACAGATTTATAATTAGTCATCTATGATAATCAAACTCATAGTCATATCAGTTGTTTTATAGGTATACTTAGATATATTTCAATTAGGTAGGTAATCTCCAAATACTTCAATGACCTACAGAATATGACATTGAAAATGTTTTAAAAACTTAGACTTTCCTGGACAATGAGACATATCTGCTCTTGGCAGCACCTATTTGCTTCAGAGAGGAGGATGGGCATCAAAGACACTCCATATGGAGTTTATCTTCTTGGCAAAAATAGCTATGTGAGCAAGAAATTGTTCTTGTCTGGCTGCTTGACCATATGTTGTATCGACTGAACTTGCAGGGCCCATAGGAAAGTGACCACTGAAATTTTCAAGACAAGATGGTCCTTCAGGTTCCTGCTTTGCAGAGGAGACTGCCAGACATTCTACAGGTCACTTAGAGAAGCAACTGAGAGACTCTAGGCCTATAAGCTGAAGATGGATGCCCCAATGTTGCAGTGGAACTTTGGATAAAGTTCCAGGGAGGAAGCTGTCATTTCCAGAATTTTGGAAGTTGCTTACAATGCATTTCCTATTTACTTAGGTAATATTGTATCCTTCTGTCATCTTTGTTGTAGCTAAATACTTGACAGTAATAATTGTCCTTTGTTATGATAAACAATAAGCTACACATAAATCTTTAGACTCACAAATACATAGAATTTTTCTTTAATTTCCCAAATACAAATACGCTAGATATTATAACTGTAATTCTTGCTTGATAACTGTTTTAAAATATGTAAATTTACTACATTAAAGTTAAAACCTTCCTTTTTGATTATACAGAAAATGGGAAAACCTGTGGATTGTTGTTCTGTGTGCTATGAATATGTGTTATTCTCATTGATTGTTAAATAGAATCTGATTGTCCAGTAGCCAGACAGGAAGTATAGGTGGGGCAAGCAGATGAGAAGAATTCTGGGAAGAGGAAGTATTAAGTCAGGCATCACCAGCCAGATATAGAAGAAGCAAGATGACAAGGCAGAACTGAGAAAAGGTACCAAGCAATGTGGCTAAACATAGATAATAATTATGGGTTAATTTAAGTGTAATAGTTAGTAATTAGTCTGAGTTATTGGCCAATCAGTTGTAATTAATGTAAGCTTATGTGTGATTATCCTATAAGTGTGCCTCACGGGACTGCAGAGGACTGGTGGGACCAGAGAAACCTTCTTTCTTACAGGGAGGGCCATGCTGCTGCTGAGTCCATTGTGATTTTGGTAGCCTTAGCTGTCATCTTCAGCCATGGTGACTAGACATGGGCTGCTGCTGAGGACTGTGTTTGGGTCTGTGTGCCTAACAGAGCCAAGGTCTGTGTTGAAGTCTGTTGTTATGAAATAGTCTTTTTGTGCACTGTGACAATGTCTTTGCCAAGGCACTTTCTGATTGGTTTAATAAAGAGCTGAATTGTCAGTAGCTAGGCTTTTGGCTAGGTTAGTTGGGACTTCCAAGTAGAGAGAAAAGAAGAGGAGGTGAATCTAAGCATGGGAGAGATGCCAGGGATTTGTTGAGGAAACAAGAGGTTTAATATGGAAAAGAGGTAAAAAGCCACAAGTAAAAATGTAGATTAATATAAATGGGTTAATTTAAGTTATAAGAGCTAGTTGGACAAACCTAAGCCTTAGACAGAGTTTCCTAATTAATAATGTCTCTGTGTTATTTTTGGTGAGTTGGTGGTCCAAAGAAAAATCTGTCCACATATGGCATCCAACTTGGGGGCTCAGATATCCAAACATAGAGCCTGAGAAAGCTAAGAATAGTTCTGGGCAAAAATCCAGATGTGGCGTTCTATCCTGTAATCTCTCAGGTGGGCAGAAACTTGCCATGCAGTGGCTGCACTACCAGCTGCTCCCTGCAGGCTGGCGCCAGCTACCAGTGCCATGCGCTAGCAGCACACTGAGCTAAGCTGAACCATCTTGTGGTTCTGCTGGCAGGTAAAGATTTGTCTCAAATGGTCAGAGAATGCTGCAGGTGCCGGGTAAAGACAGATCCAGATAGAAAAAAAAACTCTGCACAGGTTACAGTGTGTTTAAAAATGTGTAGGCTTAATAAAAAAGAAAATAAGTGCAGACACTAATAGAAAAAATAGCTTATAAATAATAAGATAATACCTTTAAAGAGAGAATAACATAATACAAAAAGGATAAACTACATAAAGATGAAAAATACACTGAGCATCTGGATCCTCTATGGTGTCTTGTTGACTTTGAGTTTTTTGATAACCATAGCTGCTGAGAGAAATGGAATTTTAAGAGGGACTGCTGAATTAAACCTGCTTATATACTTTAGGAATGCCTTAACTTTAAAATGAAGTCAGAAAACATACTGCTTTGAGTTAGAGGTTATGCTTTTTTCCACAGAAAATGTAAGGCCATGGATCCCCCCAGGTTGATAGAGATCAGGTTTGAACAGGAAAGACCCTCTGAAAATCCTTGTTACAGATATAAAGGAATAAATCTCAAAAAACCACAAGAAAGGTGACATGTATTTTATCTGCTCAAACATAAAACAGAAAATCATTTGTACACACTTGTACACACTGCACATTCCATAGTTGTGTTAATGCAGATATATAGGTCATCTTTGAGAATTTGTGTGTTTTCAGAGAAAGGGGACCAGACACCAATGAAAATAGTTGGCCCAGGTGATTCAGCCTCTCAGAGTGACTCTGTTACAGTTTCCTCAGAGTTCTGCATCCATTCAAGGCTGCTGGCTGAAATGGTTCAGTTCACAGACTATTCTAACCAGGTCTGCAGATAAGCCTTGCTCTTTCTCATTACACAGAGACTGGACAACAAATGTTATGGCTAGCTCTCCCAGGACTTGATTATCCTAATTTTTTCAGAGTCCACAAACGATTCCATCACCCTCAGACAACAAGAAATAATCTAGAGAACATCATGCTCACATTCCCAAGAGGTAGGGTGGGTGTTTTTTGATCATTCAGTGGAATATGGATATTTGTTATCATTTAGGGCGGGTTGGTTACAAGTTGTTGGTAATGGTCAGGAAAAAAGCTGAACAAAGGACGTTATATTCAAGGATCTCCTTCTGAAAAGAAAAAGGGGGAATATGGAAAGGATAGAATACAAGGTTGGATTATTGAATCTCCTTTAAACCAAAAATCATCTATTAATCTCAAATATTTTACATTGGTATGGATTTTTGTATATTGATACAAATTTAAGGTTATTTTTGTTAGAATATACTCTATATATGTTTCTACTATGACGTTATTGTATATTGATATAAATTTAAGGTTATTTTTATTATACTGTATATATATTTCTACTATTATTTAAGGCACTATACCAATACAGTTGTTTTACCAATATAATGTAAATTTCTAGTCATTGAAATTTATTTTTACAAACTTCTTAAGGTAATTAAGAAATGTAGGTTAGTAGTTAGTCATATATAACAATTAAACTTGTAGTCATGTAATGTATGCTCTCAAGGTCATACAGATATGTATTTTAGATAGACAGGTTGTCTTCAAACACTTCAAAGACTTACAGAATATGACATTTAAGATGTTTAATAACCTAAGGATTTTCCTGACAGTGAGACATATTGTTGGAGACCAACCTTGGGCAACTGGGCAAACTTTGTCTTGAACTTTGTATAAGTTTTCTCTTGCTCCAGCAGGCCTTGAAAAAGACAAGATGCTCTAGCCAAAACCATGAGACGTGCTTTATTTAGATAAACATCCT